CTCGCAGCCCTTCTCCGCCCGCTGCTTTTGCCGCCGGGAATGACCGGCTGCAGGTGCGAGACTCTCACTCACTTCTTTGTGGAAAATGCGGCAAAACACAGTGCGGCGGCTCACCCCCAAGCCCCTTGGAGGGTCCGGGAGGTGCTTTCCCGACGGCACGGCCGGGGCAGCAGCGGGCTGTCTCCGGGGCATTTATGTGCATCCGTGGGTTTAAATTGAATAGAGATGAGCCAGGGAAAGATGTTCTTGGCATTTCGGGCAGAGGTATTTTGGGCAGAGATAATTGGAAATATGTGACTGAGTAGCCTGAACAATACTTGCTCCTGCTGTGTCATCCCCCCTCAAATGATGTTTATTGTGTGCCCCCAAGTTAATAAAAAAATTTCAAGACGTCTATGTCGAGAAGTGGTTTTATCCAGTGTCCCCTTTTCCCCTTTGCCCCTGCTCTGAGCCTGGCCTCCCCCTCTTTGCTGGGACTGGCAGAGGTGACTTTTCGCGTCAGCCTTTCACACAGGGTAAGGCAGTGGCTGCTAGCACACCTTCCCCGACGGAAGGGGGGCCGTCCTCTGCCTCCCTGTGTCACGGTGGGGAAAGATGCTCAGGCTTGAAGCCTTCCTTTTGATCAGAGCCTGCGAACAAAGCGGCGGGACCGACTGTCAGCAGGATCCTCTCATGAGCCGAGAGCCAGAGGCCCTCGGAACCCCCAAACGATCCGATTGCGGGGACCGGTTTCACCCGGCAGCAGCACCGAAAGTGAGCCTCCGGCACCGAAACCCTTTCTTTCTGCCGGCGGCAGCGCTCTGGGGCTGCCCGTGCCGCTCGCCGGCCGCACGGTGCTCGCCGCGCCGTCGGGGCAGCGGGCGCGGAGCGGAGCCCGGGGAGCCTCCCCCGGCCCGGGGAGCCGCTCCGCCGCCGGAGGGGGAGGGCAGGCTGGGGCTTTGCCCCACCCGCTGTAGTGCCGAGACCCATTCATTCAGCTCGTCCAGGCTTTAAAGACCCCTTACCCCACTGTCTTCCATAATACAGGGTGCAAGTGGAAAACAGTTCGGCTTCGCTACTCCTGATATAAGTATTATCCTGATTCTCCCGCCTCTAATTAAATTATCCCGGGTGTGTGTGTTCCTTTTTTTTTTTTTCTTCTTTTTTTTTTCTTTTTTCATTTCCCCCCCCCTTTTTTTTTTTTTTTTTCTTTGTGTGTGTGTGTATGTGAAATTTTGAGGGATGGGGAAGAAATCGGTAGTTGTTTGTTTGTTAAGTTTTCTTCCTGTAACTTCCTGTAAAAATTTACCTTTTGGTAAAGTTGTCTGTGCATGAACAGGGAAACAAGGGGGAGAAAGGAATTCAGAATTCAGAGATCAGAGAATTCAGACATTCAACCAAAACTACTCTTTCACTTGCACCAAACACTGCTATAAATGTCCTAAGTTGATCACTTGGTGATTTGGGGCTAGGCAGCGAGAAATCCTTAGCTTTTCTCCTTCTTTGGTGTCTGTAACAGCTTGCACATGAAGATGACCTCCATACTTCTCTAGGGTTGGTGAGAGATCCCCTTTTCCTTTAGAATGGGAAGGTTTTGATTTTCTCCTCTCAGAACAAAGCCTCCCTTTTGTTTGATTTTTTCAAAATAATCTAGAGATGTGTAAAAGGTGTATCTGCTGTGAAAAGAAAACTAAGTAACAGAATCTTGTTCTGGAGTACTGTGTAAACTCAGATGGCCATCACCCCAACCTTGTTTTGAAATATGACAAGAATTCACAGTGGTGGAACAAACCTGTTTGTTTCTAGCACTGTGTGATGGTGGCTTTTGTAGTCAGTGTAACTCCCCATAGATTTTAATTGGGCAAACTGCTCACAAATATATAGCAGCTCCTGACAAAGGTATTGCTTGTTAGTATACTGCTGTTTGAGCCAGGGCTCTGCTATTTGTTGCAGTAGTAGCACAGTGACTCTATAAAATATTTGACTTATTACATTTAAGCAAAATTATACATTTGAGTTTTTATCATGACAGCAGCTTATCCCTATCATCTGATTACTCTGTGTCTCAAGATGTTTAAAAGGTTCAACTATCTCCCAGGTAAGTGAGTAAGCAGGAATTTTACAGAGTCAGTGTCTGATGCTGAGCCTAGGAACTGTACCTGGTTTCATGCAGTGCCACAAAGACTATTTTGGTTTGCCCCAAGGAACTTCTATTCTCAATTATCCACCCACCTGCTGTTCTGCTAGTTCCTTATGGCAGAGATCCCTGCCCATGGAGCTTCTGGTGATAATACACTAAAGAGAAGAGCACTGTTTTAAAGTTCTGATGCTTTGAGACTTTTCTCCCCATCTGTTCACTTCTGAGCAGAGGGATGTGTCCTTTGCAAGAATGCAGGGCTGCTAGATCCGAGCTTTGCCTGGGGAAGCTTTCCATTCCCAGGAAGGGTTTAGCTGGAGTCTCAGAAATTGTGTACAGATTTAGCCAGGCTTCATTTGAAAAGCTGGATAGATAATGCCATTGTCAAACCTCCAGTGGAGCAGTTTGGGCACCTGCTACTCCCTTTGGATGGAAACAGGATGTTTACTGGAGGGCTTTTTAGGAAGGGAATGTACTTCCAGGTATCCCATCTGAACAGGTTTCTCTGGAGGACTTAACAGTGTATACCTTTTTTCCTGATCAATTACAGCTAGGATTTAGATTTTTTATATGCATCATCCTCTTTCTTAGCACTTAGTTTGTTGTAATTGCCAGAACATGTCCTACCCAATCTGTGCTGAAATGAATTCTGAGGACTGTGGAGCAGTGGCAGGATATGGCCCTAAAGCCCAGCTGTTTATGCTTCCTGCAGGGAAGTGGCTGTCTATGGCAGCCCTTCTAGAGGCAATGTACACCCTCTGCTGCAGTGGAGCAAGCGCAGTGCAGATCAGCAGATCTAGGGAAAAAATTCTATTGTGCCTTGGTTTTCAGTAAATATGCTATGAGCTACCTAGTGGTATTAGGTCTAATCATAGGCCTCAAAGCTGTGGCTGGATTTATGTTGATCACTTTAAGACAAATCTCACAGATATATTTAGTAGAAGAATGTGTAAAACCCCAACCCCCAAATGGTATTATGTAACCAATACAGTATTTAAGTGCCCCCTGTGTAAACTAAGTGAAAAGCCTGCTGTTTGCTTTCTTTGCCTCTGTTGTGTATTGGTCAACCGAAGCCGGGTGCTCTGTTTGCTGTTCTGATTACTATTTTAAAAGGAAAGATCCATAGGATCATGTTATCCAGAAATTGAAAAAGAGTTAAACCCCTCTCACTGGGCTTAAGAGAGGGATCTGGGGCTGAGTGAGAGCCCTCTCGTGGGCTACCCAGGGGTGTCTATTGCTAGGGGAGCTTGTGCCATTTGAAAGCACACATCAAGGATACAGCCCTGCACAATGTACTTTGTCTCTTTATTTTGGCATGTGTGGTGCAGCCGTTGTCAGCGGCCTCTGCAATCTCAGCCACAGGGTTCAGCTGAGCTCAGCAAAGATGAAGATGTGTTAGTGTAGGGTCAAGGAGATGGTGGGAGCTAGTGGGACAACTGGGAATGTTGCTGCTGCTACATCTAGAGCTGCTATCTGGTGGAAGCAAGAGGTGGATTTCCTCTTGCTTTGAACCAAGAGGACTTTGTAGGCTTTCCCCCTAATTTACTGTTACTGATCTGCCATCAGCTCCTTGCCCAGTTAAATCCTTTATTCAAGGTGCTGGATCTTAAGAGCACAGTGGTTTCCCATTATTGTTATAATCTTTTGCCAAAGAGAGATTCCCCCTTCTCAGTAATGCACCAAAGTGGAAGTAATCGCTCTTTTTTCTTCTTGCATTTGTCCTTTCCTGTTTCATTCACCGATTGAAAAATGGCTAAAGAGCAGCCCCCATTTCACCTCCCCTTTTCCCTGATTGACTCAGCAGCTCCTGGGACAGAGAGAGGAAAGGGGCCTCGAGGTCACAACCTTCACAATCTTCAAAGCCCCTGCCGCTTCCAGCAGCTGTCACAGCTCTCACTGACCATATCCCCAGAAGGTCAGCAAAAAAATAAACACTGGGGCCCGACAGGTCCCCTTCTCATGCAAACTGGCCATTTCCCTCCCCAGCTCCCATTCCATGCATAGATTACACATTGGAGACCCCCTTGGATTTGCACAGAGCTATGCAAGAGCAAAATGCCACAGAAAATAAAAGCAGAAGGGCTTCCTGGGCAGGCAGGGTGGGAAAAAGAAAAGCAGCTTCCTGAGCTCTCCATGCCCACCCACAGGCTGCTGCAGCCATTTTGTGTGCGCAAAGCCTGAAGGTGAAGCTGGGGAGGGGGCTGACTTTTCCCTGGAAGAAAGACTGCAGGGAAGGATTCAGCTTTTGTATCTGCTTGTGCATGTGAGGGATAGAAGATAGAGAGAACCCAAAAGAAATAGGAAATGAAGCATAGACTGTAAAAGCCTTTTCATTAGGATTAGATTGCATCCCTCTTCGACAGCCAGCCTGTTTTCTGCACTCACCTTCCTCTGCAAAAAGTCATGATGAAGCAGAAATAGTGCCAGGGAGAAGCACAGGTTCAAAAGGCCAGAGCAGGAAGGTCCTTTGCTAAGGAAATACCCCTCCCCAGCCCTCTTTTATAGAAGTATCCATTTCACCATGACCACTAATAATCAAAGAGCTATTTCCTGGCCTTCCCAGATGCAAAGCACTGTTCCCATCTCCATTATTGCACACCCTTCCCCTCCCGCCTCACACTCACTTCCCTACCCGTGCTCCCTCATGGCTGAACCCAGCACTAGGGCACAGCTCGAGTTTTTCAGGCTCCAAAGTGAAGGAAGACACTCGTTTCCTATTTGCATTTTCGGCCTCTCCCCACAAGACCAAACAGGCGAGCAGCACACCAGATCGTAGGGCAAAAACTCGTCGAGGGGATTTTTACCTGCGAGGGGCTGCCAGGGAGGCGGGGAGGTTGCTGACCTGCAAGAAACCCCCCAGGAAGAAAAGGCAGGGACAGGGGACTCGGGGGTCACTTTTATTTATTTGGTGTTGGCCGGGTACAGCAGAGGGGCTGCCCCAGGGCCCGCGGCCGGGGCCGGCGGGGCGGGGAGAGGCGGCGGGCCGGGGCAAGCGGTGCGCGGAGCCGCTCACCTTGTCCTGCCCCTGCGCGCACGCTCGCAGCCGCTGCGTGTTTAAACAAAGAAAGTTGCACAACCAAAGTCCGTCCGTCAGTGTCGTGTGTATCCCCTCCGCCCCGTTAAGGTGGCTCTCGGGTGCGGCGGGACGTCCCCGTCCCCGCGCGCTGTCACCGGCTCGTCCCCGGCTCTCGCCGCTCCCCGGCGCACTGACGCCCTTTCATTATTGCACTGCTCGCTGCGACCGTGACAGTAGTGCAACAGGGAAAGAGGGGCAGCCCGGCCGGTGGTCCCAGCGCTGGCACAGCAGCTGCGGCGGCTGCCGGGCTGGGGGCAGAGGGAGAGCCCGGGTGGGGTGGAAAGATCCTGGCTTTGTCCCCGAGCTGGCGCCTCCCATTGGAATGATGCTGGGGGACAGCTCACGGGGAAGGGGGAGTTCAACCGGGGGTAGCAGCAGCCGTACAACGGGGAGGCAGCGGGCACGGCCCCGTAGTATGGCTCCGGACACTGCCCCTCGCCGGGCCGGCGAGGCGAGCCCCGCCACCCCGGGGAGACGCGCGGCAGCGGCCCCGCGGCAGCTCCGCCGCGCCCTGATCCGGCCCTCAGTTCCCTCCCACCACCCCTTTCCCTGGGCCCCTGAGGTCCCGAAAGGGACCGCGGGGACCACCTGAAATGGAAGGCAGGGCCACCCACTCGGCCATCCCGGCTGCTGTCAGCCCCCAGCTGATCCTCACAAAGCGGAGAGGAGATTTAACACCCCCATCCCTGCTTCGTTCCCACGTACCTCAGAGAGCAGCTCTCGGGAAGGGCCGGAGGCAGCGCCCGGCCCCGCTGCGCCGCCCGACCCTGGAATAGCCCCGGGTGCGGGGCACGGTCGCGGAGCCCGGCGGGCTGCACTCGCCGGGCAGAGGCATGAGCTTTGTTTCGCCGAGGTTATGGGGATTAGAGTCTCGGCCTCTTTGTGCTGTGCTCTGCTTTGCACCACACTGGTTTTCCGGCTGGGATCAGGCACAGAAGCAGCAAGTATGGCTATGTATCTCCTCCCATCCTTTGGTGGGTGTTTACATCAGTATGTAATATAGACACCCTTCAAACGTCTCAGAACTCATACTATTTTAGAAAGGAACCATGATGGGTTTCTCTGGTTTCAATCACTGCTTGTGTTTTAAACATGAAGCCGTTTTGAATCCCGTGTGATAGATAGCATCAAAAATATGCCCATTACTCACAACCTGAGTCACCAGAATAGCACGATTATTTGTCACAAATAACATCTCTGTACAATTATTCGCCTATCTAACAACACTCAGCATTTCACAACTTTTCCCTTAACTCGGTGGGCATATGGGGTTATTTTTTCCTGCTGTGGCTTTCTTCTCTCCATGAAGAATAACCCTCAAAAGAAAAGACCCTATAAGCAATATTGCACTACTACCCTGATCACAAAAGCAGAGGCAATATTGATAGGGTCTCATCCTTAAGGTTAGGAAGCTGGATAATGTGTCTTGCAGCAGGTGACTGGAGGGAGCTTCATTCCATGCCTGCAAATGGGGAAGGGGTACAAAGTTAGAAAGCAGTGCACTGCCCTATGGATCACAGCACCATGTGCTTCGGGGAGAGTGGGGGGATGCAGGAATGGAGTAAATCTCTAACCCACAGAATCCGTGCACGAGCACTACCCCTTTCTCCCAGGACACATTTAACTCCAGTATGGATTTTATCCAGGTTTCTGTACCTCCATCCCCAGTTCTCACTTTCTTCTGGGTAAATTTCTCTCCTTTATTAATAGCCTCAGTCAATTAGCTGCCTAGCTGTCAGAGGCTGGGAAGTGCTATTTACTTGATTAACTGATAGTTGTATTTTGAGCCTCTTAGTAACAGGCATCAAGCCCTCAGAGAACTTCCTTTCTAGGGCTGTCCTACTTGGAAAGCCCAGTGTTTTAAATATCCCTCCCTTCATTGGAAATCACGGGATTAAGTACACACCAAAAATTAGAAAGCAAAACAGGATCTCCAGGGCTGGCTCTCCAGCACTGACTTCACATTTATGCACACAGGTTAAAGCACGCGTGTTTTGCCCTAGCTTGTTTTGTTTGGCTTTTTCTTCTCTTCCCCCTCCCCAGCACCTTTTCTGTCCAAGGCTGGAAGGCACAATCTTCAGCTGGGGCTGGCTTAGTGTTGAACACACTAAAAGCCACAGAAATTACTCCCAGGGAAGGGCTGAGACACCTCCAGCTTCAGGAGTGCTTTGCCAACTAGACTCTTCCTCTGCACTCCAGCTTCCAATTAACCTGCCCCAGTGCATTTGTCACGTAGGAACACTTGAGAGCCCAGAGGAAGGGGAACGAAATTTCATTCCCAGGCCATCCCAAATCAGGTAATGATTTTGACACATAAGCTTCTCTTTCCTCAGTCCGCTTTCCAGTGGATTAAATTGGAGTGTAATGAAGGGACAATTCCCTAATTCATGTATTTCTGGCTAATTTATCCATGCCACATTGAGCTGGTCTTTGCCATTGGAGGTCCCTGGCTTTTGGCATGCTGGTGTGAGGCAGCCCTGCATACTCTTTGATGCTGCCTCACTTGCCAAAGAAAAAGGAACTAGGCAAGCTCCATTCAGTGTTTGGTTTTTTTCTAACGCCCAATAATCAAAATCTCCAATCTGTCCCAATCCCTTCTTTTCCCCATTCTTTGTAATGCTTGTGGAAGAAAACAGAGATCTTTTTTCCACATGATTTATTTATATTAAATCTTTGCTCACACTAACTAAAAGGCCACATTCACAGAGACTGCTGAAAACAGCTCAGAATTTAGTTTTATCAAACTTCTATATTCTTGTTACCTTGGCAAAGCCTAAGGTTTAATCCTGTCATTGCTTCTCAACAATCCCTGCAACCTAAACATCCAGTTGGACTGAGAATATAAAAAAAGATGCAACTAGGCTCAGCCTTACCTTTCCTTCTATTCCCGTCCAGTCTATTTTGTTTATTGTTTACCATGTCTTTTCCACTCTTCAGCCTCGATGTTATCTCAAACAAGACTTAGGACATAATACACACAATTTAACTTCTCCAGTGGCCCAAGAGACAAACCTACTGGCAAGCTTACAGTAGAAACACACAAATCTGCACATGAAGTGATGTTACTGATGCATGGATAGTGTGGGGGAAAGCACGATTTGACAACTTTCTCACAACTTCAATAGTTCAGTAGTTGGAGAACCTACAACTGGCAGGGGAGGGTAAGGGATGAAATTAGAAATGTCAGCCACAAGTTCCAAGCAAAGGCAATTAAGTTACTTTATGTTTCTGGATTTGTGCTGAGAGCCTAGATGTGTCTCAAAAATGTCCTTATTTCTAAGTGGTGTATTGGCACAGGCCTCCCTACATATTGCTTTTTTTTTTTTTTTTTTTAAGAAAACAGGAAAAATAAAGACTGAATCAGCCTTCAATAGTATTCCAATAGTATTCCACCTAGTTTGCAAATGATATGCAAAGCCTGGGTTGCACTATGTCCTATAGCAGGGAGACTCTCTGGAATGTATATGGGGGTTATTTTAAAATAAACGTTTAAACACGAGATTATGAAATGCATGCTATTTATACACTGTGAGGCTCAGCATCTCTAGATATGTTTAGAAACCTCTCTTGCCTTTAATCACAGTTATAGAAACTAAATGGAAATGTCACCCAGACTAGTATGGAAATAACACTTTATATGTTGCTCAATAATGGAAGCTCTTTTTTTGGCAGTGTGTGTGGGGGAGTCTTACTGTAGTGGAGCCTTTGCTATGTGTTTAAGTCCCCTTTTTCTGATGTTAGAAGACAAATAGACTGAAGTGTCCTTACAATAAAGCGTTGGGATAAATAAAGTAGTGAGCTGAGTCTCTGGAGCTGCGAGGCCTCTGCTCTTCGTGAGATCAGAGCTTGCCTTCCCTGGTTTAGCTTAGGGAACCATTTCTCCTTCCCTTTGTTGCTGTTTTGTTTGTTTATTTTGCTTGTGGTTAAAGATGCCACTGGGGCAAGCGGTTTTTTTAAATTTTCATCTCAGTTACAATCTCAGAAATCATAGAAGGGCACAGTCCAGCCTTGTTTCCCTGGCCACAGCCAGTTCTCTAGCCTGAAGAAAGGAGACCATTTAAAAGACATTTTGCAATTAAATACATTATATAGTTTACAATATATTTTCTGCAGCGGAATTGACACTATCACCAAAGGTCAAAGCAAACACTTTTAAACAGCTGTAGGCTGAAGTTGATTTAGAGTTTTCCATCCTATTTAATACTTTTATCATTGTTTTAAAACTGGGAAGTGTTGCCTTTTTAATTCTTTCTTTCTTTTTTTTTTTTTTTTTTTTTAAGAGAGAGAAAATTCTTAGCATTCCAATCCTGGCTCCTTAAGTCTATCTAGCAAGTTTGTACAAATCTGTCCAGAAAAAAAGGGGATTCTTGCTTCCATGCAAGAGTCAACTTGTCCAGGTGTGAGACTCCAGAGAGTAAGGGTTGATAATCTCTGAAAACATCACCTTCCCAAGTGTGTTTCACCCACCGAGTTCAGGGATTCTGTCACCCACAGCCACTTACCAATACGTTCCCCTTCTCCTGAAATCAGGAGGGATTACACTCCAGAATGTCCTGCCATTTGATTCTTGTTCATAATATTTAGTTTGTGGGTTTCAATAACCCTTTTCTCAGCAGCAATATTTCCTCGGCTGGCAGAACCCAGATCTGCGTCAGTGAGCTCCATTAAAAGGAATGACAGAGCTCCTTAAACAGCCCAGACTTTGTAACCCCACAATACGGCTTTTCTGCATGGTGTTTACCAGCGCTCTGCTGTCTGACGGAAAAAAAAAAAAAAAAAAAAAAGACGACTTATGGTACTAAATGCAGGAGGAAAATAGGGCTAAATACTATCACCCTGGAAGTGCCGATCCCACTGTTGGCCCTGCCTGTAGAGGGCAAGTGAAAGGCCTTGTAGTTGCCTTAGCTGGGGAAGAGACCATGTGAGGCTGAGCCTGAGCTCCCCCAAATAACTCTTTCCCCCACGGCAGGGGCCAGACTCCCCTCAGCACGCCCAGCTGCCCCAGCCCGCCCGGCGTTCAGGGGCAGGGCTGTGGTGTGTGCTTGGGGCCCGAGCCCGCACAGAGCCCGCACACAGCCCGCACAGAGCCCGCACAGCGGTGCGGCACCAGGGGAAGCGGCACCTCCTGCCCCCGCCCGGCCGCCTCCCTTCCCCAAACCACCCAAGAGCGGCCAGAGCAGGAGCGACCTTAACACAGATCTAGCACTCAATGCAATGACTCAAAAAGTCCCCCTGAAAAAAAAAATCCCTCTGAAAACTTAAACCATCTGATTTCACTTTCCGCTCCAATTGGTTGTGTAGCCAGGGCGCAGGTCTGGCCTCCTCCACCACACTAATACCCTATGTGTGCTGCCTCCACAGAGGAGGGGTTCTTTTAACAAGTTTATGCAACAACAGGATGGAGGCTCTGCCGGAGCCCTTCCCCCCGCAGCCCGACCTGATTCCCCGCATTCCTCCCGCGCCCTCCCCCTCCGACCCAACTGGAGACAAACTCTGGCATCTCCACACACATGCAAATGGTTTCCCTTGCACAAATACAGACTCCTGAAGGGGCCTTTGCTTCCGAATCCCCCCTCTTTTTTTTTTTCTTTCCTCCAGCGCTTTTTTTTTTTTTTTCGCTGTTACATTCCTCAGCCAGGCAGGGTTAAAAAAAAAAAAAAAAGAAAGAAAAAGTGGGGAAGGGAGGGTTTGGAATGTGTAACCTCCATCCCAGGCCCAAATCTGCAGGGAACCCCCGTCCTCTCCCCTCCCACCCCTGGGGCCTGCCTTCCAAAGAGCTGGCGCTCAGCAAAGGGCGTTTGTGGGCTCCATTGCCCCAGCCAAAGCCAGGAGCCCTCAGAAGGTTGTCCCTCTCCCTTTCCAAATGGGATATGGTCCTTGTCATCACACAGGCCTTTCCCTGTATCACACGCCTTAAATTCCCCCCACGCCCAGGGGAGGTTTTGAAGCGTAGTGACCATATTATTTTTAAAGACATAACTTCATACAGGAAAATAACTATGCATCTATTCCCCCTGTGATTTCTCCACCTCCAAACAAGGCAGGCTCACATGTCTGAGAGGCCATCTTACAGCCCAGCATCAGCCCCACCAAGGCTTTCACTAGCACTTATTTCTATTCGCTGATGGGCTCACACGAGCGCACACACACACAGAGAACAAAGCGTTGCCCTGCTCCAGGGTGGCTTCCAGCTCCTCACTGGTCTACCCTCCTTCCCATTCTCCCTGGCCAGGGGCAGCAAAGGGCCCTTCATGCTCCCACTCTGGTCACTCTTACACTCCTATTGATGGCAAGGGGGGAAGACACCCCCTAGCAAATCCTTCAGAGATTTCACTCTTTCCTACCTCTTAATTAATCAAGAATTAGAAGGAAGAAGAGGGGAAAGTGCCAAAGCTAAATAGGCCTCCCCGTTCCTTAACACACATAAAAATGGCAACCGTGCTACAATGCAGAGATGGATGAAAAGAAAAGCTCTAGAGAAAAGGAGCCATGGCAGCTCGAGTTTCCTCCACTGAGGCCTGGGAATGCACCGCATGGGCCACCAGCACCATGCCTCCGGTTCAGGCAGGGAGGCTCAGCCTTCTCCTCTGGGCACGAATGGGACACAGCCTTCAGCTCGCCCCAGAAACAGAAGGACTGAAAAGGTGTCTTTTGTCTGCTCCCTCGGTCATTGGAGAACTGGAGTGCATTATTGAGGATTCGGCTTCTCCTCAACAGTCTAAAATGGGACACGCTCCCCCCCTTAGGATGTGGTCCTCCATTATCTGCCTCCCCATGGCTCGCTCACCAGCACATCCTGGCCTGGCTTGGGATGTGCTATGCAATCTGAAAGCACTCGTTTACCTAGATTTGATTTCCAATATGACGGCTCTCCCCACCCCCACCCTTTGCTCCCAAGGTAACAGCTCAAGGCTTCAGGAAAAAAAAAAGAGAGAGAGAGAGAGAGGAAGGTCCCATCCCCCAGCCCTCCAAACCCCTTTCTTAGCAGCTGCAAGCGAAAATACCACATCTGCCTCCAACTACACCGCGAGTGACAGTCACCAACATATTGTTATTTAAAGATCAATTCTGAATGCAGTGTTCCTGTTCCTAGGCCTACATCATCCTCACATCTCTCAGCCTCGCTCCACGGTGCTGTTGGGAAGTGCAGGGACAGATTGTCTTTCAAATCCTATTGATTATTATTTAGGTATCTTGTACTATTTTTTTAAATGAAAATGAAGGTATCAATATTCCTTTAATCTTAACAGTAATTTCTCTAAAACTGAAATATGATGGAACTTGAAAAATACATCAATAGGAAGCAAAAATTAAATTGTCTATAAATACATGGGTATATATTAAAGTCACTGAATTCTATACACAACAGTAACATCCTTAGGTTCATAAATCCCTAATTTTTAGAGCAGAGGAAGAAAACATTCAAAGCTGGTAAGGATATTTTTAATGGTGGTGATTGCTCTGAAGGAGGACAAGAGGGCTTTAAAATGTGAATAGGCCAGCTTTTTATTTTACAACTTGGACACACAAACCCAAGCGAGTGGCAGAAAGGGCAATCCATTTTGTACACTGAAGCAGTCAAAATGGGGAACAAAACCCAAGGAATTTCCATACAGAGTTCTCAACCCAAATACAAAATAAACAAACAAACAAAACGGTAGGGATTTTTAAAAGCAATTTCTACATGATATTTACATTTTAATGCTCATTTGAGCCTTTGTGGTAGAGGGAAGAAATCAGAGTAGGGGGCTGGTTCCCTACTAAAATGCATTAAATAACTACAGAATGCCATAATGTCAGGGGCTGGGTGTGCAACAGTAACTGATCATAAAGGATGTATTAGGACTGGAACCAAATGCTTTGACAATATTATTGCACTGCTTTATTTGTGCAGACAGTAGTGCAACATTGTCAGAGCCAGCGATACCAGCAGCCACTGTCACGTTCTGCACAGCTGTCCCTGCATCCTTTTGTAAGGGACTGTTACATTACAGTGTTAACCACAATAACGTTTTTATGTTTAGCCCCAATAAAACTCTGCATGACAAAGTTTATTTGCAATTGTAATTAGACAAGGTAAAAAAAAAAAACAAACCAAAAAACAACAAAAAGTTAGTTTAAAAAATTACAGAAAGAGAGGAAAAAAAGGGATAGGGATAGAAAAAGACCGCTGTTAGTATGGCTTGTTAAACAAACCATTCAAGTCTTTTGCTACATGCCCAGTATATCTAGGCACGGTACGTTATAAAGGTTTTATACAATAAAATATTTTTCTACCATAATGGAGAATAAAATAAGAAGGGACATAATTCAGTATCCCCAAATGTATGTGCTTCCATAAAACCCAAATTGGTCAGTCAATGAATCTGAACTAGACAATTTAAATAAATCACAGAAAGTGCCAACCCTTTCCTGTGCCGTCAGAAGTTTTCTTAATTGTGCTGTGATTTTATCATGGTTGACCAATACTGATGAAAACGCCTGGGGGGTGTGGTGTATATATAGAATGGTATAAATACACTGTGCTTTGATTTGCTATGGAAAATGTTACAGAAAAGATGAGACCTGGGTACAAAAATATCTAGTGCCTGTGCTTCAATCTCACACATATCTGTGTGTGTAACCACTCTAAAATTACAGCATAAACACCAGAGATTCCTAGAAACATACAACAGCATTAAATCCCTGTCGACATTGATAGGGACTACCTTAAACATATAGGAGAAAGTTTCTCTAAGGGGAAATACTATAAGAAAATCATAAAAAAAATCAGTGTAGATATTGTATGGAAGAGTGTAGAAATTAGTAACTAATTACTCACAAGCTATTGGTAAACAAAGCAAGTAATGGGATGCCTTGAAAGCTCTCAGAAATGTCTGGAGCTTATGTCTGAAATAGGATATTTAAATTATTCCAGCCCATTTCTATAGACAGACACATAAAAATGTATAACCCAGAATCTCTCTCCTTATTTAAAACCACTCCCACATGTATAAAACCTTATTTCACACACGTGCATAAATACACTGGAGGAGGCATCTATTTTAGGGTTGTTTGCCCACTCTGAAGAGGGTGGGCTGCTAAAGGGGGTCATGTTTCTGCCAGCCAATGCCCTTTTAATATTGCACTGCTCATCATAATTGCCAGTAGTACAACAGAAAAAGGGCTCTGGACAACAGCATACTTCAGAGACTTTCCAAAATAAATGATAAATCAGTTAGAAACTTCTCCAAGTGATGGCTTCTGTGCATGTTTTAGTCTAAAACAGATTTGTTACATTCAAAAAAAAAGGAGTTTCTTCAACAACCACATTGAATCAATATAATTCTTTAAAATTAGATTTAATATTTCACAACTGCTTCTTCATTTAACTTCAGCCAGAATTTAGGTAAGCTTGCTTTAGGGATTTTTTTTTTTCCCTTATCAACAGTAAATGTACTGCATTAGAGCATGTGAAAGCAAATATCAGAATTGGGATTGTCCTTGCATTTTAGCACCTCAGTATTTTACAAAAGTAGGTATAATGAACTAAAATACACAATGGAGGATAAATTAATATCCTTTCTCTTGCTTTCATCTGAATCAGCTGTTAAAATAATTGCTACTTATTACATACATGCTTCTAGTACCTTAAATTATTCACTTTTACTTGCTAAGGAAGTGTTGCTATTTTAAAGGCATCTAAACAAGCTTTCAAAACAACTGCCATCCAGCAGTGAGAAACCTTTAAAAATCACCTACTTGCATCATGAAAACATTATTATTGTAATTGTAATTTTTTTCCTTTTTCAGAAAGAATATATGGGAAGTAAGGAGAAAACATCAGTTAATCATTACAAATCAGACATTCCAAATAATTTTAGCAATAAGTAACATTTAAAAGTCAACTTAGTCTTTAGGCTCAAATTGTTTACCATTTGTTTCTCTAGACAATTTCAAACTTAAAATTGGAAAATGTAACTATTTGTTAAATAAGAATCACTTGAGAACTTATAAAATTATTTTATTTCAATCAATGCAAAGAAATTCTATGCAAAGAAATCCAAACTTGAAAACAACTTTCCATGAACTCTATAGACAAGTAAGAATTGTACCAGATGCTAAAATAAATTAAACTAATTCGGTTCTGGGGGAGTTTGGGCTGAGTGAGAAAATTCACTACATGAATTCTAGTTGTCACTCTATCATAGGAGTATTAACACAAAGCCAATTGATTTGGAAACATCCCAACCCAATTAGAATCTTAAATTGTATCATTCCTGTTTTCTCCCTTTATTTTAATTTTTCCTCCTTTTTTAAAAAAAAACCAATAATTTACCCCTAATCCAGAAACCTAGACTGGTTTGGAGATGTTTTTTTTAAAAAAAGGAAAAAAGAAAGAGAAGGAAAGAAAAAGAAAAACCTAAAAGAATTTGCGTTAAACCTTAGGAAGTATTTTTTATTCCAGATCCCCAAGTTTGTGTTTGAGGGTACAAGCTTTCCTTACACAACTCAAGGACCACACACTGGAGGGAAACGGAGCGGAATTGGGGCAAAGTGCAAGAATGCCAAAGAAACACTTTGGGTTGCGCACCCTGGTTTATTGCAAAAACTCTGGACTATTTAAGCAAAGCATTACTTTTACGAGATTTAAATATTAAGCCAATATAAATACTGGCTGGAGATAGCATGTGACTTATTGCCTCGCTCTTTGGGGGTTTTAGCAAAAAAACCCCAAAAAACAAAACAAAACAAAACAACAAAAAGAGGGAACTTCTAAAATAGGATCTTTTAACAAAACAATTCTACGTGGTAGCTAGACAGATGTGAGTTTTGCTGTGTTTAAAAATGTGAATAGTATTTAGCAGGAGGAGCGCTGTGGCATAATGAGAGCGGGCAGCAGCCGCGAACCCTCCCGTGGAACAGCCCTCGCGCGAGCTGGGGGTGGGGAGGGAGCGCTCGGCTCCGGCGACAGGAATTCCATTTGTGGGATCCCACTCGGTTTCTCAGGAGTGTTTGCATAGGTGAAATGTTTGAGAGGAGGAAAAGGGGGGAAAAGAAGGCTCACCACTATCTAGAGATTTCCAGCCCAGCCCGCCGGCGCTCGTCTCCCTCCCGGCGCTGCTCGGCGCACGGGCGATGCGCTCCGCGCCGTGCCCGCTCCGCTCCGCTCCCGGCGGGCACGGGTACCCATTCCCCACTCCTGCCGCTCCCAAGTTTTATCCCCAGCCCCGCTGCCGCCCTCGGCGGCTCCGGCCGCCCGCTGTTTTCAACGCCTCGTATCGATCGCACGCCAGAACGCAAACCGACCAGCCAAACTTCACTCGGGGAATCGCCACATTTACAATGCGGGAGGAAAGGACTCCCGCACTGCCCGCTCCGCGGGGAAACCTCTGCGGGAAGCGCACGGCCCCGCCGGGAAGCTTCCGCACGGGAGGTGGGCGAGGGGAGCCGCCGTCAAGCGGCTCCCCCTCCCCCGCCCGGCCCCGCGCTCCCCGCCGGGTCCCCCCGCCCCGCAGCCTCGCTGCCCCGAGCGGGGGGCGCCGCTCGGTCCCCGTCCCGCCGCCGCTCGCCCCGCGGGCCATTGTCAGCGCCGCGCCCCCCGGCACCCAGCGCCCCCCCCGGGCCCGCGCTCCCGCCATTTCCGCCCGGGCGGGCGGATGCGGCCGCGGGCGGCGGCGGGGCCGGCGGGCCCCGGGCCCCCGCGGTACCTGGCGGCGGGAGGGACGACGGACGGGTCCCCGCGCCGCGGGGGGGAAAGTTGCCAAAAGAGGCGCAAAAGAGGCGGCGGGAGCGGCGCGGCTCCGCAGCCCCCCGCCCGCCTCCCGCCGCCGCCGCCCCGGGTGCGCCTCGGCGCGGGTCCCTGATCGATCCGAACGTGGGCAAATCCTCCGGTACCAACCTCATGGCCTCCCCGCTCCAGCCTCCATCTTTGACTAGTTGACATTCAGCTCCTGCCTGACCAACTCCTCATTAGCATACCTCCCCCGCCATTGGTCCGGCCCTGCGCTAGTCTTTGCCACCGCCTCCGCCATTGGCTCCCGGGGAGGATGTTTAAAAATATTACCCCGCCGCCCATTGGCGCCCCGGTGGCCACGTCACGGATCGCTCTTTATTTTAACAATGAATGCACAAACACATTCTTCCATTCACAAATTTTTTTTTTTTTTCAGTAGTTTGCCCGCCTTTTCTCCAACTACATTTTCATTGATTTTTTGTTTCAACTGAGGGGGTCCCGGTTGTAAACAGATAAATCAAAGGCGAACAGAGGGGGGACCTGAGCAAATATTATTTTCTCTCTCTTTTCTCTTTTGTTCGGCAGTGCTGGTGTTGGGGGAACAAAACTGATCCCCAGCCGTCCCGGATCGGAGAGGTGTGGTCGGGGGGGGGGGGGCGCTCTGCCCAAGAGGTTGCAACTATTTAGCATTTATTTCGGTTTCAAAGCTGGACCTCTTTCCCGCAATTAGAAAAGCAACCTCTGCCCGGGCAAAAGAAACCGCTAAATTAGTCAGATTTAGAATAGTAATGATTGCTGTGGGTGGGGAGCGTTGGCCGGGGGCTCGGTGGGTGCGTGCCCACGGGGAGGCTGCTCCGCTCCCGCCCGGAACGGCGGCAGCGCCCCGGACGGCCGCGCTCCCCTCCCGCCGCTCCCGCAGGCGCGGCTGAGCCAAGCAGGGCATTTAATTGTGACCGACTGAAACACACCAGGTCACTTCAGTGCACTTTCATGACAAGAGCTTTTCCTTTTGTACGCGCGGCTGAGCTGAAATCAGGAGATATCAAAGTTTAAGGGCTAGGGAGGGAAGATCTCTAGCATTTCTCTTGCCCTGCAGATTGTGAAAAACAGGAATCGTTGAAACATTAATCAAAAAAGACTGAGAGAGTCATTGACTCTGAGAGTCCCTCTCACAGGGAAAGGTCTCGGTGAGTCTCTTTTTTGGAAAGGTTTCTGCCATATTCCTAGCTAACAAACTCACCACTGTGCAGTTGCTTCCCCTTCCAAATACATTGTTCCTCAGTTCTTCAACAATTGATTTCAACAGATGTTTGCAAAATGGAAATGTTTCCATACATCAGTGAGAACAATTTGTCAACAAACTGAGTGAGAAAGCACTAAACTTTCTTACACTTTTGTGGGTATGAAGGTTTTTTTCAAATTTCAGCTGTATTTACTGACATTTTATTAAGTTGCCTGTCTTTAAAAACAAAACAAAACAGTGTGTTTTTTTCTGAATTCTTGTATTATTTTAATTTAAAAATATTCTTTCCTTTCGTTTGTTCTCTACCTTCATACCAAATCCAGCCCAAAAATATAACGTGTGTCCGTGTGAACTAAAATTTTACATCATACAAGAAGAAAGATATTAGCTATTTTTAAAAATAAACTATACTTCCTTTGTATCTATTCTTGGGCTTGGGAGTTGGTTCTGATTTGGATATTTTCTCCATATATGTATGCATATATATGTGTGTAACCCCACACACACAAACATTGAACCCAAGTTGTAAATGCTGGATCTGGGTACTAATGGGTGGGGACTTGGAGCAGTGGATCTCTGGCAGTGTTTTTTGGAGATGGGAGAGAAGGGCAGTGGGCTGTGAAATCACACATTCCTGTCCAATGGAGCTGAAATAATGGTATTGTTCTCTGGAAAAGAGGTTGCTTTTCTCTTCTCCATTCTTCCCCTGATCTGCAGGGACCTGATTGTGCAGTTAATCAGCAAAAAAGCGTTTGATGTAAGGCAGGGCGTGAATTCAAAAGGGCCAGGGGGGATTCAAGAGGGATTCTTCTGTCTGTTAGAAAATGTTTTTCTGATTTCAAAATGGTAGGCATTTGAAAAGCTGGACTGGTCTCCCTTCAGAGATCCGAGTTTGTAGTAGGTACCAGCACTAATTATATCGCTTCCTTTGTGGGTTTGACACTTTACTGCTTGGGAAAAAGAAAAAAAATAAAAAAAGCAGATATCTTACAGCAATAAGAAAGATGTCCTTCCTGGAGCAAAGGTGAATCTCTATATCCCTGCAGTTTATTCCTTCAGCTCGCTATCAGTCGCCAGAGAGTCTCCTTATGCCTTGCCACACGTTTAGCATTGCATGATTCAGAGTAAAATAAAGCCCGTGGGGAGCAGGTAAGAAATAAGTTGGTTTTGTAGTTCTTTTAGGTGATCTGTGTCCTGAGCATGGCATCCAC